TGAGCTGGAGTCCCACTCTTTCACCCAGGCTGGAGGGCAGTGGCACGCTCCCGGTCACCATAGCCTCTACCAGCTGGGCTCAGGCCGTCCTTCTTCCTCAGCCTTCCAAGTAACTAGAACTACAGATAAGCGCCACCATGGCCAGCTAACGTTTTGATTTATTGTAGAGATGAGGTCTCACCAAGCTACCCAGCCTTGTCTTGAACCTGTGGGTGCAGGCAATCCTCTCCAAAAGTGCTGGGATTACAGGTGCGAGCCACCACGCCTGGCCTGTATGTTGCAATCTAAATACTAAATACAGTTATTGCAATCTAAATACTAAATACAGTTATTGCAATCTAATAACTGGGACTTTGATTTTCTTGCCTGCTTGGATCATGGAGTCTGCCCTAGCTGTGCTTTGGGGAGATGAGAAAGAGGACTCAGTGGTTTGAGCAGCTGTGGCCCTTCAATAACCGAGAATAGTCATCAGAAGTGATCCCTTGAAACTAAGTAACAACCCCTGAGTTTCTGAACATATCATGACACAGGACCCAAAAAGGAAAGACATTCTTATAATAAGCAGGAAAGATGCTTGGAGTCATATTACTACTAAAAATATGTGACCTTAAATTATTCTCCAAGCTGGTGAAACAGGGTATAACATTTTTCATTTGATATCATATTTATCATTTGATATTGCATTTGATATTTAGGAGACATGTATATAATTTGATCTCCCTAATGTGAAAATAATATCTGTAGCTAATATTTACTCAACACTTACTATGTGTTTGGCACTATTCTAAGCATTTTATTTCTATTATGTCAATTGGTCCTCATATTTGTATGTTTTTTTTGAATTGGAGTCTCACTTTGTCTCTCAGGATGGAGTGCAGTGGCACGCTCACGGCCACCATAGCCTCAACCTGCTGGGCTCAGGCGATCCTTCCATCTCAGCCACCCAAGCAACTGGAACTACAGGCACACACCGCCATGCCTGGCTAATTTTTTGATTTATTGTAGAGACAAGGTCTCACCAAGTTGCCCAGGCTGATCTCGAACCCCTGGGCTCAATCCTCTTGCCTCCGCCTCCCAAAATGCTGGGATTGCAGGGGTGAGCCACCACTCCCGGTCCCATATTTGTTATCAACCCTATTTTCAGATGAAGAAACTAAAGCACTATGGTATTAAGTAACTTGTTCAAGGTCATTCAGCTGCTGGTGAAGGCTGATTTCAAACTCAGGATGTCTGACACTAGAGTCAATGTTCTTACCTTATAGCAATGACATTTTAAGTACTCAAAATATATTAACTCATTTAATTCTTGCAATAAACCCATGAAATCGATGTATATTTACTACCATCTCATTTTAGAGATGAGCATACAGATATGGAGATTCAGTAACAGCTAGTAAGAGGCAGAGCTGAGATTCAGATATGGGCAGTCTGGCTGAAGTCTCTGTCTTCACCATTACATAATACTGCCTCTCAAACTATACTGACTTATCAAAGTCATTGTAAGTGTCAAACATCAGTTTGATACTATCAGTCACAAATTAACATTCATCTAGGTTTGATAGTTGCAGAAATAATGAGACATTTATTTCTGAATGGATATTTTGCTGGTAAATAAAATCTTCATAAAGTTTTTTTGAATTTTTAACACTTAAAAACAATTTAGGCTGGGCATGGTGGCAAACGTCTATAATCCCAGCTCTTTGGAAGACTGAAGTGGGAGGATTGCTTGAGCTCAGGAATTAAAGACCAACCTGGGTAACATAACAAAAGCTTGTCTCTACAAAAATAAATAAATAATCTGGGCATGGTGGCATGCGCCTGTATCCCCAGCTACTTGGGTGGTTGAAGAGGGAGGACTACTTGAGCCCAAGAGTTCAAGACTGCAGTGAGCCGTGATCATGCCACTGCACTCTAGTCTGAGCAACAGAGTGAGACCCCAACTCAAAAAAACCCAAAACCATCTGTAAGAATAATAAAAATAATACGCAAATAATAATGTTGATCAATATTATTACATAAAAATATACATTATATTCTTAGTTTAGATTCCATGGCAAAAAGAAATGATTCAGATAAGATTAACTGAGGGAAAGAGAAATTCAACTTACCTTAAATTATGCACATAAGACCAGGCACAGTGTACCTATAATCCCAGCACTTTGGGAGATCAAGGTGAGAGGATTGCCTGAGCTCATGGGTTCGAGACCAGCCTGGGCAGCTTGGCGAGACCTCATCTCTACAATCAATCAAAAAATTAGCTGGGTGTGATGGCATGTGCCTGTAGTTCTAGCTACTTGGAAGGCTGAGGCAGAAGGCTGAGGCAGAAGGATCACCTGAGCCCAGCAGGTCAAGGCTGCAGTGGCTTATGAATGTGTCACTGCACTCCAGCCTGAGCGACAAAGTGAGACTCTGACTCAAAAAAAAAAAATTATGCACACAGATTATTTCTTTCATGGCTACAACCTGAATTATTAAAGTTAAAAGTTAAACTTTAATGTTAAATTACTTAAGGACTTCATAAATATGCTGTAGAGACAAGGCTTATTGAGTGTTAGTTCCACATGAAGAGGAAAGGGCTTGTTTTTATTCAAGTCCAGAGACAGGGTTGCCTCATAACCAAGTAAGCTTAATGGCAGCAAATCCAGCAAGTCTCTCTCCACAACTACATTTTTTAAACTATCCAGTAAATCATACAGTAATTGAAGTCCTTACATTGTAATGGAAACTCCTAGTTTCAAGTGTTAGTGGGCCAATTTCAAGTATAGGACTTTCAGCCGGGCTCGGTGGCTCAGCCTGTAATCCCGTGCTTTGGGAGGCTGAGGTGAGTGGATTGACTGAGCCCACGGGTTCGAGACCCGCCTGCGCAACTTGGCAAGACCT